TCATCACATGCATCGCATTACCTCTGTATATGCCGTGGCTAAGTATCATTGTATCAGCTGCATACCAATGCTTGGGGAGTATATATGTGTATCAGTACAGGACAAGAGATGCAGTTTATCGCCTGCGCAGAGGCAGTAGTTTGGACCGTTGAAACGTTTATAAACGTTACGCGGCTGTATGTGCTTAGGCTTAAAACAAATATATGGCGGTTGTGTTCTGGCTCGGTATGAAATACAGTTAATGGCAAGTGTTTGGCTAATTGCTCGGTCTCGGTTACTGATGCAGGTTTTCCTTTCAGGAACATGTATCGTATAGCAATCTGTGCGTGAATAAAGTATGGTTATGGACTAAGTTTTAATCGGGGTACCTTTGCTGTTGCATTAACATGTTTAACTTAAGCAAGGTAGATAACTGTTTAGGTTAATCTTCAACAAATCCTTAACAAAATGCAGTGTTGCTATAAGGAGGCATTTGGAGGCAGTGGTGAGTTTTCATAATGCTTGCTGCCATTCTGGGAAAGGCTATGTATGCAATAATTTACGCCCCTAGACTGTGGGTCATATGGGCACTGCAGCATAAACAGCGTTTCCACGGCTAACACGATATATTAAGTAAGCATCATAAGGCTGTGAGTGGTCATAGCCGTTTGTCTCTGAACTGCGTCTAATGAATTATGGCATAGGCCTGCAACAACAATGAATGCAAAGGAAATAAAAAACAATTGAAAGGACTATAACATTATGAGAGCTAGGCTAGTAGTAGCATGTCATATACGTGAAGGGATGCATAAACAGGCGGTTGCAATTTCAAATGAGAACTGATATAAACAATGGTTAGTTATGCAATGCTGGCAATTTGAGTCAGGGTGTTTGTATCCTGAGCCTAGGCTGCAAACGTGTTATAGTGCAGTTGCTGCTAACAGTGCTGGAAAACATAAGTGAGTCGCTTCGTGGGGAGTGGGGAAATGCTGCGCTGTGTCGTTGCACACAACAGGTTGTGGAGAACAGTATCGATTACATTGTAAGTGTGTTGCCTCCATGGTTGCCTCCATAGGCCTTCAAGCACGCCTGCCCCCCATTGGTCCTCCCCGGGTCTGACCTGTCCCGCTGGTATAGCATTCTGTGGTGCCGTGGGCACTCAAAGTCCAAATCCGTCCCCCAGGCCCCCCACACCAAGAGTCCAGGTTCCGACCATCTCCTGCACCTCCCCAGCACCACTTCAGCCTCTGTGAAGCACCTAGACCCTCATGTCTCACCTGGCGCCGGCCACATACTTAGGACTGGGGCACCTACCTCACGGCCACCGGTACACCGGAAAGGTCTGTGCATACCTGTCCCACAGGACTCACTGCGGCAGGGACAATCTGCCCCGGGTCCCCCCCGAAACCCAAAGGCAGAGACTGGTACTTCTCCAGGGGGCAGGCCGCCCAGAATATCCCTCTGCAGGGCAGCAGCTGTCAGGTCCACCGAAGCAATGCGAGGAAGTCGCTCTACGAAGATGAGTCTCCACTCCCATGTTAGCACCGCCATACAGCAATGAATTCTTGTAGTTGTTCCGTTTATAAGGCGGGATTCCGACAGCAGGGCGACACTCCTGACCCCTTCTGCTCCCCCAGGGTGTTGTCGAAGCAGGGACTCATGGGCCGGGATAACCCCCACCGGCCCGGGGGGGGAGCGGGGCCGGGCCCCCCCTCATCATGTGCACCTGGTAATGCTGCCTCCCGTGCTTCTGTTTCTCGGTTTGTGAGGTTTGTATGTGCCTGTGTCCCGTCGGACCTCCGTCCCACGGGTCTCCAACTAGGCCTGGGTGCATGTCTCACCGCGGTGTCCGCAGTGTGCCGCGATCCGTCGGGAACCTTCTCCATCCGTCCTCCGGTGGGTTCCTCCTTGTTCACCTCACGTTTTCCCGGGTTCTGTTGGGCGTTGGAGGTGAGAAAAATGCCTTTTTTAGTGGCACGATGCAAGAGCTAGCGAAGATGGCTGCCATCCCGCTCAGCGGCTCGGCCCCGCCCCCCCAAGACTGTTTTTGGAATGCTCCCAGCTATGTGCAGCGTGCCTCAGTGGACCCCTGGCCAGTTTGGGAAGACTCCTTAGCTGTTACGAAGAGGCGATATGAAGGGGCGCTGAGCTGGCTGGAGAGGTACATAATGAGGATTATAATCCTTTTTTTAAGAGAATGATGGCGTTTGGGGAGACATGTACCAGTCCTAGGTGACCAGGTGGTTATGTCACAACGAGCTTCCAGCTGCTGCATCTTTTGTCATTTTGCACAGAATTGACATTAGTCAGCTCTAATGACACCGCTATGACTTGCTTGAGGTGGAATTACAACTCTGGCAGCCAAGGGGTTAAACTCAGTATGCAGCGTTTCAAAGTGAAACATTGCACATACAGTCTCCAGGCACCATGACCACTTCACATCACTTAAGTAGTCATGGTGCCTTGAGTAACCATTTTAGACACAACACAGTCCCAAAATGAACAAGGAGATCTTGAGGTCTCTAATACTGGGGTGAAAACATGACATCAGAGTATATCTCTCATTCTTGTTTCTGGCTGAATAAAGTGTTTTCTATTGTTAATTATTATAAGTACAGACATCATTTCACAACAAATACACACACATAAACATATAGAAACTTAGAATGTGACGGCAGATAAGAACCATTCGGCCTATCTAGTCCAGAGCCGGACTGGCCCACCGGGATACCGGGAAATTTCCCGGTGGGCCGTCGGCACCTGGGGCCGAGCAGACACCTGGGTCTGCTGGCGGCCGCTGGAGGAGCTGTGCTGTCTCTGCTCCCCCGGCCCTCGCGCGCTACTGAATGAGACCGGGGCCGGAAAATGACGTCATTTTCCGGCCACGGTCTCATTCAGTAGCGTGCGAGGGCGGGGGAGCAGAGACAGCACAGCTTCCAGCGGCCGCCATCCCAGCTCTCTGCCCTGCATGACCCCCCTAGCCCACAGCTAATATGTGTTATGCTGTCAGTGTGTGTGTGTGTCTGTCTGTCTGTCTGTCATGGTGTGTGTGTGTCATGGTATGTGTCTGTCTCTGTCATGGTGTGTGTGTGTGTCATGGTATGTGTCTGTCTCTGTCATGGTGTGTGTGTCTCATGGTATGTGTCTGTCTCTGTCATGGTGTGTTTGTGTCATGGTATGTGTATCTGTCATGGTGTGTGTGTCTGTCATGGTGTGTGTGTGTGTGTCATGTTATGTGTCTGTCTCTGTCATGGTGTGTGTCTGCGTCATGATATGTGTGTCTGTGTCATGGTGTGTCGGTGTGTCATGGTGGGTGTGTGTGTGTCGGTGTGTCATGGTGTGTTTGTGTCATGGTATGTGTCTGTCTCTGTCATGGTGTGTGTGTGTCATGATATGTGTGTGTCATGATATGTGTGTCTGTGTCATGGTGTGTCGGTGTGTCATGGTGGGTGTGTGTGTGTGTCGGTGTGTCATGGTGTGTGTGTGTCATGGTATGTGTCTGTCTCTGTCATGGTGTGTGTCTGTCATGGTGTGTGTGTGTGTGTGTGTCATGGTATGTGTGTCTGTCATGGTCTGTGTGTGCGTGTGTCATGGTATGTGTGTCTCTGTCATGGTGTGTGTGTGTCATGGTATGTGTCTGTCTCTGTCATGGTGTGTGTGTGTCATGATATGTGTGTCTGCGTCATGATATGTGTGTCTGTGTCATGGTGTGTCGGTGTGTCATGGTGGGTGTGTGTCGGTGTGTCATGGTGTGTGTGTTTGGCATGGTCTGTCTGTGTCATGGTGTGTGTGTGTGTGTCTGTCTGTGTCATGGACTGTCTGTCATGGTATGCGTGTGTCTGTCGTGGTATGCATGTGTCTGTCGTGGTGTGCATGTGTCTGTCGTGGTGTGCGTGTGTCTGTCATGGTTGGCGTGTGTGTCTGCCATGGTGTGCGTGTGTGTCTGTCATGGTGTGTGTGTGTCTGTCATGGTGTGTGTGTGTGTGTCTGTCATGGTGTGTGTTTTTACTCACCTTTTTTTTTTCCCATGCCATGCTGGTCTCCCCTCGACTGGCCCTGCCTCTATGGCTAAGATCCCTAAGTTTGCCATAGGATTGGCTGCAAAACGCTACACCAATCAGCATCTCCTCGTATGTGTGTGTCTGCTAGTGAGCGAGCTTGTGTTTTTATGTCAATGAGCTTATGTATATCAGTGAGATTGTTTGTCTATGAGGCTGTGTATCAACGAACTTGTGTGTGTCAGTGAGGTTGTCTGTGTTTGCATGTGAGTATGCTTACTGTATAATTAAACATTTTACTATAAAAGGACCAATATTTTATATTAGAAAAAGCAATATATATATATATATATATATATATATATATATATATTACTCAATCATCTGGGGTGGAAAGACATAGCCTTACATATTACATTCGACAATATATGGCGCATTGACTTATGGGGCTGACATATATTTTTTTTCCAGGGCTGCTTTGTATCCCTAGTCTGGCACTGATCTAGTCTGCCCAATTTTCTAAATACTTTCATTAGTCCCTGGCCTTATCTTATAGTTAGGATAGCCTTATGCCTATCCCACGCATGCTTAAACTCCTTAATTGTGTTAACCTCTACCACTTCAGATGGAAGGCTATTCCATGCATCCACTACCCTCTCAGTAAAGTAATACTTCCTGTTATTATTTTTAAAACTTTGTCCCTCTAATATAAGACTATGTCCTCTTGTTGTGGTAGTTTTTCTTCTTTTAAATATAGTCTCCTCCTTTACTGTGTTGATTCCCTTTATGTATTTAAATGTTTGTATCACATCCCCCCGTCTCGTCTTTCCTCCAAGCTATACATGTTAAGTTCCTTTAACCTTTCCTTGTAAGTTTTATCCTGCGATCCATAATTATACATACAGATATAAAATGTATAACTCAACCTAGGTGAATTTGTATAGATAAATATCTGCTAAATTCCACTAGATATCAGGCAGGGAAGTGAAGTCATGGGCAGCAGTCATTCATGCAGACAGCAATGTACATTTTGCTGGGCAGAGACTCAGACAAGAGGCATGGGATCAGCAGGAGACAATAGGACAGACTGCATAGTGCTGACACTGGCCAAAAAGCTGGCATTAAAACCAGTCCCTGTTCTGCCTATATAAACCCCTGGGGCTTGCAGAGCTGAAACAGGCAAGTGCCAGATGGATATCCCAGCAGTTCAGACTGAGCGAGGTGAGTGCACATACATGGGTCCATCCTGGGGGAAGCATTCATTATAGGATGCAGCATTTCAAACATATTAAACCGTTTTCAATGGGGGAGTAAATATTATGTTTTAAAGATGGTGGCAATGGAGACAACAGAAAAACTTCATTCAGAAATAGCAATGTGTTGTTCATTTAGAGCTGTTCAAAATTGGCTTTCCCAGTCTTTTCGGACTGCAATTCCCATAATTACTCAACAAAAGAATTGTGGGACTGGTAGTTTAACTGTATCTGGTGGCCTCGATTGTTAAAGTTTTGGAATGTGGAAACAGTTGTGATAACAGAAGGTAACCGAGGCCCATCCTACTTATCTAGAGCTTCACTTTAGAAATCTATGAACAGTTGCCTTTGCCTGGCCCCTTTAAAACGTATGTTCATCAAATGTCACAAAGGAGGGATAACCTGAAGTGTGAGATATGGGAATTGATACATTTGCCTTGCCAGTGCTCTAGACTAGTGGTTCCCAACCCAGTCCTCATGGACCACCAACAGACCAGGATTTATGTATTTCCTTTTTTTATTCAAATGGAGATACTGACAAAACCTGGACTGTTGGTGGTCCATTAGGACTGGGTTGGGGACCACTGGTCTGTTCGTAGTAAGGAATAGACCGTAGACCGTTAGTAGTAAGGAATACATCTAAATATAACTACAACAAGTTGTTAATTATAGTTTGGAATTTTAGAAATATAATGTGTAATATCAGTATTTTGTTTAGGTTATCTTTTTCTATATTGGGTGAGGTTTGTGTATCAGATATGTTACATCGCTCTGTAGTCCAAAAAAAGTGTTTCTTCATCTTCTTCCAAAGTAACCTCACAGACTGGGCTTCAGTTAAATCCATCTCACAACGCTCACAGAATGATTAGCCGTACTTGCTGTTAGCCAGGAATATGTTTGATACCTGCTATTTGAGGACAATGTTGAGAAATACTGAGTCACACTAGGACAATACACGATTACACAGTTACAATGCTGAACCGTTTTTTATTGTATGTGATGATACAAAGCTTTGAAGTTCATCTGATGTAAATATTGAGAACTGATCTGCATGTTTTCCTTTTTTAGAAGACATCACCTCTGAAAAAATGGCCCAGACTAACCCGCTTCCTGTTCCTCTGGGACCCTGGAAGGTATATACCAGTTATTCAGATTACAGGGTTAAGCCTACGGGTTTAAATGAGGATGAGCAATGTAAAGTATAATTGTCTAGGAGTTTAAAGAGATGTTAAACCCAGAGGTTTAAAGTTGAGTCAGCAAGAGTTTTTAGACTGTGGATCTGTAATGTAAATGACAAGACTGATGTCATATCTTTTCTTATCTCCATGGATGACATATAGAAAAACACTTCCAAAAATGGCTAAAGCGAGTAGTATTTATTATAGTTATAGTCATGCCTGTTGCTCAAAATAGACTCCCTTTTGGCACCAGGAACAAGAGTCCATAGGACTAGCCAAACAAAACCAGAAATACATCAATTTTATCATCATATAATAGGCGTAAATAGAATAACAAAGAAATGATGTGGCTCACTCGATCACTATTAACGGACAGCGTACCAAGTGGAAAAATAACCAGAGGAAACAAGTCTCTTAGCATCATAATGTTCACTATAGTGTCTATTCAATAAAAAGGGAATTGTTGTGAACTGAGAACCAAAATAGATATGAAATGATAGAAACATAGAATGGCAGATAAGAACTGTTTGGCCCATCTAGTCTTAACCTTTGCAGTTTGGTTTTCAATACCCTAGCTTAGTTCACTAAATAAAATCACCCAAAGAAATGAAAACATTAAAACATGTTCTTGCTAAGTTTTATTAAAGGATAAACTGCTGGGAAATAATTAATCATTGATCCTGAGAGAACTCCCATAAAACAGTTTCCAATGGCAGAAGTAGTGAGGATGTAAAGAGGTAATAGAAGATGAAATCTATGAAAAGTCATATTTTCTTTATTTACATCAGATCACAGTCTATGATCAAGAGAACTTTCAAGGAAAGAGAATGGAGTTTACTGCATCATGCCCAAACATCATGGAGTGTGGTTTTGACAACATCAGATCTCTAAAGGTGGAATGTGGAGCGTAAGTAATTACTATATCCGATCCAATCAATAGGCTTACACTATTCATCACAGCACCCCAATACTGTACATATAAAGCTGGAATGGCCAACTACTGACTCTTACAGGCTTCTTTATTAACGTGAGAATGATTGGGAATTTCAAGGGAATTCAACGCAAATTTAAAATTTAAGGCAAAAGTTAGAATTGCACCAGTGTGGCTACTTTGGATTTAAATTTGAAATTTACTTTCAATTCACTTTGAATTCAAAGAAAATCTCACTTTACTAAATAAACCTGTCTGTAATTCAAACACCAACAGAGATCTACTAGGATTATAGTCCAATAATACGTAGGCAGGTGCCAACACTGACAGGGCAGATGTTAGGGGAAGTTAATTAATTACTATAAGAACACAGACAAGGTACCGTAGTAGCTATTCCTTCACAATCCCTGCGTTTAAACACACCAGTAACTGTGGGAGCTGCAGGACATGGGGACAACATGGTTTTATGGTCATCTAGTAGCATACTACAGTATGAAAAGTGAGCGATAAGTTCCCCAACTAAACCTCTACAATCCCCGTTTTTAGAACAGTAGATAGAGCCGTAAATGCAATATATTGAAACAATACTGCAGCTCCCACAGTTAGAAGTGCGTTTACTACTCTATACAAAATGCATTCAAAAATGAAGATGAATCAATAAACAACCTTAATTAGTACTCAGTATGGTTCCATATAGCAATAATGAAAACACCTGCTCCATGGCTCTACAAAGGAAATATATAGCCCACCACTCTGCAGAATTACCACATCTTATAAAATAACCAAAGATTGAGGGATGGATTCTATCCAGGGGTTCTCAACCCAGTCCTCAGGACCCCCTACCAGTCCAGGATTTGGGGATTACCTGGGTGTTTTTTTTTCTTTTTCTAAACACCTTAGACACACCCAGGTAATCCCTAAATCCTGGACTGGTAGGGGGTCCTGAGGACTAATGTTGAGAACCCCTGTATTAGACTAAGCTCATTTGGCCTAAGTGAGTTGCAGTTTCCCCTGGTTTTATATAAGAAAAATGCTGTTGAATTACAAGGCCCTTTAATGTGTAAATCTAACCAGAAATCAGTATAGTCTTAGAATAGTGTAGCCTAGTCAATAACACTGAGATTTGACATGAATGTAAACATGCTAAGTGTATCACTGGATTATTTCTTATAAAACCTATGTACAATAACAAAAAAAATCAATGCTAAACCTTTAACAGATTTTTTTTTTTATCAAAGCTTGTATTTTAAAATGTGACGATAACATTCTAGCATTACAGTGCTATGCTACAATTAACCCAATTATTCGTGTCCATGCAGCTGGGTAGGTTATGAACACACTAGCTTCTGTGGCCAGCAGTTTGTCCTTGAGAGAGGAGAGTACCCACGCTGGGATGCCTGGAGTGGAAGCAATGCCTATCACATTGAGCGACTGATGTCCTTCCGCCCAGTCTGTTCTGCTGTAAGTGTTATAGTGGACATTCTACTGACAAAGTGAAAAGGTTGCACAGCTACCTGCAACATTCTTAGAACATACTAAATATATACACTATTGTAATATTTGGTTTTGAATTGGCTTAACAGAGGAGGGATGAAAGGTGGTCTGCAATGAATAATATGCAGTACCAAACTTAAAACCCTACATCTCTTTAAGAAGGCTAATAAGTATAACATATTAGAGAGGCGCTAATAAGCAACAGATCACTACAGAAACTAGTGTTGAACTCAGCCCATGCAAACCTTTCAATAAGTAACTAAGTTTTTAAAATTATATTGAAGGCATTTTCATTAGGACTTATGTCTTGTTATTTTACCGGCAATATATGTAAAAATTCAAGTGATACAGAATGGTTTTATTGCCTGATTTAATTTCCCCTCTCATGTAAATCTGATGTACTCTATGTGCAGAATCATAAGGAATCCAAACTAGTCATCTTCGAGAAAGAGAACTTCATTGGACGCCAGTGGGAAATATGCGATGACTACCCCTCACTGCAAGCCATGGGCTGGTGCAACAATGAGGTGGGATCCATGAAGATTCAGTGTGGAGCGTAAGTATGACTACAATTAAAAACCTGTGGTATGACATACCTGAAATTTTGAATATTATCACCAAGATAAGACATTTCCGCTGTATACAGAGAAATCAGTGCTAAGTGAGATCGCCAAATAAAATTTTACAACAATCTTTATCTAGATTGCTGAAGACATACTTACATGCTTATTACCAAAATCAATCCTTTTACTCGGCTATACAAATTGGGAAATTTTACTCCTTATATAAAGAAAGATCAACATATATTAAATTCTGCCTGAAATTGATCTCAGTTTTCCATGTTAATTTTGCATTTTTATTTCAGCTGGGTTTGCTATCAATATCCTGGCTACCGCGGTTACCAGTACATCATGGAGTCCGACCATCATGGAGGAGAGTACAAGCACTGGAGAGAATGGGGATCCCATGCCCAAACCTTCCAGATCCAATCTATCCGACGCATCCAACAATAAAGGCCCCAGATCCTCCCGTCACCTACTATTGCCGTGTTAGCGAGAGGTCACCATTTCCTAGTTCACTATGGTGCTACCAATCTCTTTTAATGCTAATTTAGAGGAAACAGAATCCTTTCATGTACTGTGAATGCTTGTTGGTAAAATTACTTCTTAATTGTACCAGCAGCTAAAATAAATGTGATTCAGAAAAAAAACAATGTCTTGCAAATATTTATTTTTATGAACCTTAATTTATATCACAATGAATCTTGTTTAATATTGAAGACATTGGGATGGGTCATCTGTAACATGAGAAAGGAGTAAGGGGTATGGTTTGTCTGGGAGAGGGGCAATACTGAGTCATTAACTATGGAATCACCACTAAAGAAAAACTGGTGACCTAGGAAATTGCCGAATGTGTCCTATGGGAAATCAAACCTTGTTTTTTGTATTGTTTGTTTAAAATCAACAGAGCATATTGAATATTCTGTTTAGATGTTGACTCCTGGAAACTAAATGGTTTAAACCCTGATCTGCATGGAATCCTCAGATGAGGAAGACTTAAACACATGTTTTATTGCATAACTGCCTTTAAAGGGACACTATAGTCACCCAGACCACTTCAACTCAATGAAGTGGTCTGGGTGCCAGGTCCCTCAGGTTTTAACCCTTCACATGTAAACATAGCAGTTTCAGAGAAACTGCTATGTTTACATTAGGGGTTAATCCAACCTCTAGTGGCTGTCTTCCTGACTTCACAGTCTGCAGCTCTGCACCCGGTGGAGCTGCAGACTGGCGGCAAAAGGCTCTCCCTAGGCAGACTGTATGGAAGGGACTCGCACCCGGCGGCATAGAGGGCAAGCTGCCTGGGACCAAGTCATGGACCGAGGATCCGACTGGTCAGTCTGCCCGAAGGCGACTTAGGTGGTCGTGAGGCCCCGGTCAGCGTGAGGCCTTTGGTGGCCGCCTAAATTGTCTAAAGTGGAGAGCCGTCACTGCTAGTAGGGAAGCCACCATGTGGGAAGTTCAAATATCATGTTAACATAAAATATTCAACATGAGCTTGGTCAAACTTTAGGTGTCCACTGGTATGGTATGAAGACTAGATTTGTTCTTGGAAGAAAAAAATTGGGAAGGTGTGCAATATTTGTTTCAAATTATATATTATTTTTCAGTTTTTAGCTCTAAAGGGCACGAATAAAAAAAAAGGTAATACGTGGGTACATTTTACTTGTTAAAAAAATAATCTTACTTACAAACTTCCGCTTTGTACCCTACTCTCCCTCACTTGCCAATGGACATTTTTTAAATCAAATGCTAGATAGGAAAAAAACAGACCACACAAGAAAAATCCATCCAGCCAGCCTCATTCCTATATTTCTGACACAGCGTAATAAAGAGAGAGAGTTTGCGGACACGTCAATTCCGATATTCTCAGCTAAGTATTGTTCTATAATTCTATAGCTAAAGCAGTATTTGGAGTTCATTTAACACTGATTATCTGCCTATTGTAAAACCGGCAAAGCTCTGTTTTGGGCTAGGCGCTTGTAAGCTATCAGTCTCATTACATGGCATTGGTGATCTTGGGGACCTGGGACGTTGTGCCACTGGCCTGGTAGCCCCGTTTGTTAGTGGGTGCATGGTTTTCCTCTTTAGTATTGGGTGGTCTTAGTCTTAGGGCTGCTGGGTTGCAGATTGGAATTGAGGGGCATAAAAGCAGGGTAGGCGCAACTAGCGATGCACTATATGGGGATGGGATGTAGCTCGTAGTGTGGCTATCCATTTAATCAGCGGGGTACGCCTATTGTGGCCGTGCGCTGTGTGTTGTGTTCCCTATATGTTGAGATCCAGGTGTGGAGTTTGGCGCTCCATGGTCGACTATGTCCCTTAACCCTAGGGCATTGGGGAGTGCTGGAGTTGGTGTGCGAGGCTGCCGTCCTGCTGCTTGGGACTAGGAAAGAGAGTGTGGGTGGCATCTCCGGATAAGAGATTTTGCGAAATGAGAAACATTGTGATAATATGAACATTGAAAGGGAGAAAAAAACAAGAATATAAACTTTGTGTACTGGTTTTGTTTGGATGAGTTCAGGTTTCTGGGCCTCGTTCTCCTCCACGCGTGGGAGAGGGGGAGTCCTCAAAGTCTCTCAGATAAGTATTGGGTGTACCCAGAATGGGTAACCCTTGCGGGGTGAGGCCCAGCGCTGTCAAGAAGGCAGGGCAGTTTGCCGGGTCAGTTGCTTTGTATGTTTTCCCTTCCTTCGTGATCAGCAGTGACCTGGGGGTTGACCATCGGTACGGTAGTCCCGCTTTTTGGAGGAGTTTAGTGATGGGCTGTATTTCCTTGTGCCATATCAGTGTAGATATGCTCAAGTCCTGAAAAGAGGAAATGTTGCTGCTTTCGAATCTGTATGGTGTCTTCCCTTTAAGGGCGGTTATTAGGCCCATTTTGTCCGTTAGAGAATGGCACCGCAGGATGACGTCACGTGGTGCTGCGTTGGGGGCTCGCAGGGATTTGGTGACCCTGTAGACCCCATCAAAGGTAAAATGTTTCACTTGTCGTGTTGAGAGGAAGGATGAAACCAGCCTTCTAATATAGTGTGGGAGTTCCTCCAAAAGTACTGTTTTTGGCTTAATTAAGAATGTTGGTCTGATTAGCTTGCATCTGTTGTACCTGGTCGTGTAGTGCATTCAGGTCTTGTTTTAGGGCAAGGACGTCTGTCTCCGTCATTTGGGTGCGAGCTGTCAGCGTTTGTACCTCTGTTTTGAGTGCTGCCAGGTCGGCTTCCCATATTTGTCGGAGGTTTCGTTGGAGGGTAGCCTGTATGTACCCGTTTGTTGCAGGAACCATTTCTTCCGCCCTGTGTGGGGTAGAGTTCCCGGTTTCTGCTGGGGTTTGGTGATGGTGAGAATCCCCTTTCTCCGCCTGTTGAGTCTGGGCTGAGGCCGGCGTTGGTGTTCTTAATAACTGGCCAATGTCCCGGTGTGTCTGTGAAGTAGTTGGCGGGTGTTTCTGGGATTTCCTCCCCATTTCCTCCACAGGTGGTGCTTGCAGGGTCTGGTCAAGTGCGCCAAGGTTACACCACATCCCTGGGGCCCAATCCAACTCGAGTGGGCTGCTTCCCGCGTGGTAGGCCTTAGGGCTGCGGCGGCGGGTTATTCTTGTTGCGGTATGGAAGAACAGCATCGGCGTGTTCCGTGCGATGTCCTCCGTTGTTATCTGGCCCTTTCGTGGTTAGTTAGGGTGTGATGTGCGCATTATTTATTGGATTCAAGACGATTTTCTTTTTGACAATCTAGTTTTTATTGGATACAAAAACAGGAAAAGTGTGCAGCGCATATACCAGACCCACAAGTCTTGCAGAAATGTAAACACAATCAGTGAATATTTAATAATAGAAAAGGAGATAAATACCCCAATATTTTTAGATCTATGAGGGTCATAAACATTTGCCAGATCCTGTATAAAAGCTGGTTCAAGTGATGTCACTTTAAGATGTCTCAATTCAAATCTTGAGGTTACTCCCAAAGATGAAGCTTGGTCCTCAGAATATGCAAATTATTGAGCAAGCAAACATCAAATTAGGAGAGTATAAAAAACACATTTATTACAAGTAAATAAAAAACCTTACGTTGAGGTCTTGTAAAATCAGCAAAAATAGCAGCATAGGTAGTAGCATAACGTGTATCGACGATCAATCTCGTCTTCCTCAGGTGCAGTTCACAATATTGTATAAAGTCCGTACATTTAAAGGCCTTTTGGCGCGGAAAATCGGGTATTTAAGACCCGCCCCCTTTGCCATCGGACCAATCAACAAGAGCCAAATGATTTCTCCTTTGCCGTCTGCAATTTCCGGATTCATGCGTTCCACTGCTTTTACTTCCGGTATCGTATGCGTTCCAATGTGCGTCTCACGGAGGGCACTTCCGGTTTCACTTGCGGTTCGGTTTTCCCAGTCGAGAAGTCCATGGCAAAGTTTATAATGCTGATAATCTCCAGGCTCACATCAACATAGTATCATAATATATATGTGCACATAGGTGCACACATAAACATGTACAAAACATATAATTAAGAAAAGAAGGAGAGTAAATAAAAAGGAGGAAAGTTAGTAATGACCACAACTTACTAAATTGTTAAAAAATATATATGTATAGGTATATAATGAAATATATAGGTGAAACCAATAAATATGTATTCACCAAATATACATAAATTAAATATAATTATACATTTCATGAATATATATGCGCTGCACACTTTTCCTGTTTTTGTATTTGATGTTTCTGTGGGTTTACTGTGATTGTACCCACTAGTGTGTTCTAGCTGCTATTTATTCTAGCGCCACAAATTGTATTTTTCTCTGTTTCATAGTTTTTATTGGAGTTTAAGGTTGTTGTTACATAACACAGAAAAAATACAGCTGACAATGAGTTGTAAGCATGTTATGTGTCTCAATTAAGCATACATTAGCTTTATAGTGACCCTCCCCGCTCCCCCCCGCTCAGTGGTATCACAGCTTTTCTTCTGTCTTTTCCTTTTCTTTTTCCCTTCCCTCACCCCTCCCTTCTCCTCCCTTTATAGACTAGTGTTTGGCTTGCAGCGTGTATTTCTAGATCTACTATATATTCTTTCATTACGTAGTTTACTTTGGTCTAGTGTGTTAATCTCAGTGTCTGGTCTTTCGTTGATCGTGGGTTATGTCCGCCCCATGTCTTGCTCATCAAGTCATGAGGCGTATGCGGCTGCCTATGAAAGGTTGATGCGGTCCCTGTGCCTTGCGTCTGTGCTGTTGTGGCGATCAAGGCATAAGGTGTATGGGCTTTACGCTGTGGTGTGGGCAACCTATAGCATTTGCTATACGTTATCCTTCCTTGTGTGTTTTGGTTGCAATTTTCTAGTTTGAATCTCCTTCGATAGTTTTAGGGCACATAACAGCAGGTGGCCTCACAGTGTTGGGGCTTTGGCTAGCCATTTGACATCGGCTTGGTCAAGCCGTCTGGGCTTGTATGTCGGGCATGAGCATGGATCTGAGTGTCCAGTGTAGTCTACCTAAATGCATTGGTTGACCTTTGATGGTGGTTTTGTGATTACCGCGGTTCCTTGTGTCGTTGTGGACTTGTCTTTCTGGCCGTTTGTACATCCCTCCCTAATTGTCTGTGTGTTCCCCTATGTTTGTTGGGGTGTGGGTTGTGTTGTCTAGACTATGTCCACCCCCACCCCTTCTCCCGCTGCCGCCAGCGTGGGGCGGTCGGGGACCCCCTGACCGGCGGGGGTCTCATATCCCCCGGGATTCGTCTGTGTTGCCGTGTCCGGCCCCAACCCCTAGTTGTCTCAGACCCATCTCCGCCTACTTCCTAGTTCGTATGACTTGGGTATCCCTTACTGCTCTGTCTTTTCCTTTTCTTGTTCTTCCCTCCCCTCCCCTCATCCTCCCCCCCCCCCTTCCTTGGGGTGAACGTCCCAAGGTCGCCCTGGGGTTTGCTCGTTTTATCTGTCCATCTATTAGTGGTTGATTGGGGTGTCTGCGTTAGGCATGTGTTGTGTGTACTCTAGTTCTTGTAGTCCATGTCCTCTGACTCATTGTTTCCGCAACCCTGATGTGGTCCCGTGCTGCACGTCGATTGTCCTGTCAGTTATGTATTTTACGTGTGTCTCCTGTCTTGTGTTGAGGGTGAAAGGGAACTCGGGTAGGGGGAAGAAGCGGCAGATGCACTTGGGTTTTCGTCGCCGCGGCATTCCGATGCGGCCGTCAAGACGATTTTGGCGGAGCTAGGGAATATAGAGACTGTTCCCTTGTGTAGTCAGCCACACTTAGCTTTTTGAAAACCCTTTCTTGCTAGATTTTTATATCCGATGCTGTGATTGTTCTTGTAATAATATAAATTGCTGTTGCATGCATATCAGTTATACTTATAATATTATCAACATTAAAATAAAATTATATTAATTTTCATTATTTGATCAAAACAGACACACTGCTAGATGTTCTCTTCTTACTTGAAAGGTCCTTATTTCATAGTGATTGAACCCTGGAACTGTGTTGACTTACTTTATGTTTGGTGATAATTTAAAAGGAATACTGAATCGGAACATGATTTAAATTTTTGGAAGCTTCCTCATTATATCTGTTTCTTTAACTTTAATTGTACCATCAGCAAGTGCAGAAGCCTCTGGAGAAATGATTTTGTTCAAAAACATCATTTTAGTTAAGCTCAGCAAAATAGCATCTATTTTTAAATGTGAAAAATGTAGGCATAACATGAGTCACGTGGATGTAAAAAATGACTAAAGAAAACTCAAAAATTGTCCATTACTTCTGTTTGAAATAGATGGGATTTTTACTAATATGGTTTTGAGTTTGACAACAAATTAAGTATCTTTAGAAAAAAATTAAAATGCTGCTGTCAATTCTATCAGCATCAGTTAACGCTCTAAGTTTCATCCTTATTATCTCTTTAAAATAAAGTGAAATTAGTTCTGGGTGCAATTTGTCCTGCAACCTGTTCTACACGCAAAGGACGTCTGTGTACAGCTACCCAATTGGCCAGAGTGTAGAAACAATATATTATTATAAACCATTAGATTATATAATAGCTATACAGTTTACTAGATGGTTTTCTGGTACAGTATTAAATGAAGATTTGATTGGTGCCTCATTATGTGTAACAAATTCTCTTTAATGTCTGAAAACGCTTCATTAATGAGAAACACAAAAATAAACTTAATAGGATGCTCATTTTAGGATCTAAGGATCTTTTGTGTTAATAAGTAACACGTGACTTCAGTCAATAACAGCTATGATTAAAGATGTAATAAACTTTAAGATGCAAACAACCCCTCCTCTCATATGACTGAGGGGGCTGCTCTGTTATGGGTTGTGATATCTGATGGCTAAAATAGTGGCTTTAGAGGAGACACAACATGATAGAGATTCCCTCAAAATAGCCAAAGATTTATAGTTTATAGATACATTGTATTCAGTAAAATGTTCTTGGCCTTTTCTCTCTTCTTCATTCATAAAATGTGTGCTCTTTTTGTGTGTGTATATGTATGAATATTTATATTTCTTAAAAGAAAAATGGATGACAGAAGGGTGGCAGGCAGAGTATTTAAATAATAAAAACTGGTTTCATCTACCAAGGATAAAAGGCATTCTTACGTTATATAACAGGGCAGCATGTAGAAAACAAAAAGCAGAACATGTCACGTTGACAGTGATGGAAGTGACCTCTGCTAGTTTTTGCTTATAACTAGTACATTCTGTACTCTCTACCTCTTTCTGTTTATCTGCTGACCTGACCTGTGCACTGATCTGTGGTCTTCAACATATAGCATTAGGGATACAAAGCCTTATTCCTAACACTATATTGCCCATCTGCCGATTTGTTTTAGGTTGCACCTCCCCCCTACCATTTTCAGTAAAAATCCTGAAAATAAAGTTTTTACTTACCTCTGGTCGATGGTCAACCCAATGCTCCTCATAAGAGAAGAGCTGTGCACATCCAAATGCTTCTCACAGGAAAGCATTGAATTCAATGCTTTCCTTTGACATACAACCTCGCAAGACTTAGTTTTGCTCCGTCAGTACAACAAAAGCGCATCTATTGGCTGTCAGGAAGGAAGCCGCTAGAGGTGTGTTTAACCTAGCAATGTAAACATTACAGATTACAGTTTGTACAAAATTGCAATATTTTACATTGCAGGGATAAAATGACAGAACCTCAATACCCAGACCACTTGATTGAGTCAAAGTGGTTTAAGTGACATTAATTGTCCTTTAATTTCTATCTCTTCTTTCCAGACCTCTCTAAATTTGCTCTACCTTCAGTGCCAGGGTACCCTGAAGGACCAGACGCAAAATCCATAAAACCAATTGTCACTTGAATCCAAGGTTTCAAACTGAGATATGAACCAAGTTTAATTTCAAAGTTTACATTCCTTTACCTGACAGTCATTTTATACTCAACCTTCCTAACAAATGACCCACACCTGTTTTCATGTACTTTCTTACTCTAACTGTATTAAATTCTGCAGTGCTCGCTTGCAGTTCTGCAATTTTATGAAGGAGTACACTGATATCATCAGCCCCATCCTTAGGTAGGGTAACTAGCGTGCAAACGCGTGAACCCTGTATTTCAGAAGGCCGCTCTGACTGCCGTTCATGCTGTAACATGGACCAGCAAGTCACATGTCCCCCGTCCCATTAGTTTACCTCCACCAGATAAAGTGAAAGAATATGTGTAAAATGTTTTTTTTATTTTCTCCCCATCTCCACCTGAATGCTATTGAATGAATACAACTAGTGTACAGACAGGAGTTTTATTCCAGAAAACGAGGGGGTAATACCTGTTGCCCAGGACCCCCAAAATATAATGGGGGTCCAGATGCAAAATGTAGTTTAAAAACATCTGGTCAAAACAGTTTGTAAACACGTAAGGATGAGTTTTACAACCCTCTTCACCGGAGGGTGTAATAGTGAGTTTTATTGAGCAAGAAACATGAGCAGGTTTAGCATCATATACAGGCAGCAGCTTAATGTAATATTAGAAATAATAAAGAAATCTATTTTGATCTGTATTGGATTATTATTATTAATAATATTATACTATTATTACATTTTGCCAACATAGTAGGCATAACAGTAAATGGATAAATCAACCCTTACCTGTTATAGAGGCACTAGCGCCATATAAAAACAAGCATTAAATAATTAATGTTCATTTACTCATGTATTCTTCTTTTAAAAGCAAAAATGAACCATTTTATCTGTTTTAACTAATCAAGCCATACAATCTCATGTCTCAATCTATACTATAAAAAAGTACTATTGCTTGTCAAAGGCAAACCTATAACGTAAATCTTATGCTAACATTTACTTTGGCTGCCTTCAGCTTAAAAGGCATTATCTATAAGGAGGCAGAAGTGGGTTAGTTAATTAATTAACCTTAAATAGGATACACATGGGAGTAGACACAGCACTGCAACAAGGCTGCAATAAACAAGAGCTATTAAAACCACATATTATCCCTGTGCTGAAACTATCAGCAAAGCCACTGTAAATCGGATTCAAGACTCTAAAGTGAGAGTTAGAAAATTAAAGTATGACATTAGCATTTCAAACTGAAATTCAGAAAACAAATGAGAAAATATAACAGCATAATAATTATTGTATAATTAGATTGTAAGCTGATATTGACAGGGCCCTCTTCACCTATTGTTCTCCAGAGCCAGATTCCCATTAGGCAGAGTTATCGCCTGACCTGTAGGGGCCGCCTATTTACAGCATTCATGTGCCTTTTTGAAGCTTAGGTAGGCGGGTGAGGGGTGATAGGTACCAGGAGTCTTGGCCAGTGGCCTTTGTAGTCCAGTCAGCCCCCAATGCTTGATAGCAGAACTGCGTTAACAGTTATAGAAGCTGTAAAACTCAGTGTTGTCTCAGCTCCTCAAGTTTCTGTGTGAGAGGCTAGACAGGAAGTGGAAGGGATCACTTTCATGCTTCCAACCATCCTGATTTAAGCAGGACAGTTCAAATTTTCAGATCCTAACCCACTGTCCTGACTTTCCTTCCCCAGTGTATAGCTTTGGGGACACCAGGGAACTATCACCAAAAAGTAGAGTGTAAGCGCATCATAAGACATGCTCCCTGTGCACTCAGGGCTCTAGGACCATGCATAGAGCACTAAAACAATACAAGTCCTGACCTCAGTGTGTGATTGTTTGCATTCAGGACCAGCACAGCAATAAGGTAGCACAGGCAGCAACGTTAGGGCACACCTGCCAGGGGGCACAAAGTCTGTGTGGCAAGGACAGTGCTCCTCCACCTGCCAGTCACCTCATGAAGTGTGGCCGCGCAGATCTTCTGTTTCCTCTACCCGGTCTGACAGGAAGCTGTTCTTTATGCTCAATGAGCACTTCCTGTAAGACTAGATAGCGAATACAGATAATCCTCTACCACGATCCACACTACAAATAGAGGTAAGCTGGCACAGAAGTGGAGAGACCACAAAAGGACAGGGGGGATTGAAGAGACACACAAAAAGGACTGGGGAATGGGGGAAAGAGACACACAGACGGGGGAAGAGACATACAGACAGAGGAGAAAGAGACAAGGAGCTAAGAGAAAGAGACACACAGGGGCTTTGAAAGGTTCAAAAGAGCCTTACACCGGCCCTACACGCGTTCATAGGTAGGGTTACAAAAACCACCATGCATTTTCATAAATATGAAAAAGTTATATGTGTCCCAGAAAACATGGTGGGTTACTTACAAAACTGTGTTACTTATTTAGAATTTACCATTGAAATGCGTGGAGTGCCAAGATTGCTGCAATAGTTTGTGTTCAATTTGGCCTGAGCCAAATTATATTACATTTTTTGCATTAGTGCGTTTTGCGGAAAATAAATCAAATCTGTGAGAGTCAAGTTGGGTTTTATAGGGTACATGCTTGTTTTTTATTTAGAATATTTCGTTAAAATGCATGGATGTCACGTATCCAAGTTTTAAGATCAATATCATTTGGTTTAAGCTAAATTGAACTTTTTGGAGGTTTTCTGATAGTTGTTTAGTAAATAATCAATTTCATGAAAATTAAGCTGTATGAATAGGAAACCAACCTGAATAAGAAGCTGGGTAAACAGGAAGCTAACTTCATTCTTTGAATAAGAAGCTGACCAAATAAGACACTAACTTTAGCATCATCAAATTTAAGCAGTCAACTTCTTAATCAACTAAACTAATCAACTAAACCATTTACCTTAATCCTAGGTTTCTCTGCTCTGATAATATAAATGATAATATAAATTGTCACTTTTATAAATTAACCTTGTTACACTGCCCTGGCTGTCAATCAGACAACTAGTTCCACACCAGTTCCATACCTCTTGCTTTCAATACTCCCCCTACTAGGTCCTGCACAAGTCCCACACTTTCTGCTTTCAAAAAAACTCCCTGTATTAGGTCCTGCACCTGTTCTACACTTCCTACTTTCAATACTCCCCCCTACCAGGTTCTGCACCAATCCCACACTTCCTGCTTTCAATACTCCCCCCTACTAGGTCCCGCACCAGTCCCACACTTCCTGCTTTCAATACTCCCCCCTACCAGGTTCCGCACCAATCCAACACTTCCTGCTTTCAATAATCACCCTACCAGGTCCCGCATCAGTCCCACACTTCCTGATTTCAATACTCCCTCCTACAAGGTCCCGCACCAGTCCCACACTTCCTGCTTTCAATACTCCCCCATTACCAGGTCCCGCACCAGTCCCACACTTCCTGCTTTCAATACTCCCCCCACCAGGTCCCGCACCAGTCCCACACTTACTGCTTTCAATACTCGCCCTACCAGGTTGTGCACCAATCCTACACTTTCTGCTTTCAATACTCCACCCTGAAGTGCTTTAGGAATCTGGACTGTTCCTTTAACGCATTAATTGATTTGTCAAATGTCTGCTGTTTCCATCTTTGTAAAATAACCTCAAAATGTGTTTTCCCTTTTCTCCTGAGGAATATTCTTTAATTTTAGACATGCAACAAAAGAAATTAAGTCAAGGCAATGATATCTGGAAGGTGTAATAATTGTCCTATAATGTTGTGATATTAGATTATTTCACTTACTTTGTAAAGGATCTCAGACTTATTCCACTTCTCTGTTGCTGGTGATTTAATTCCCAAAATCCAACAAAAAAGATATGTTAAAAGATGTACACTCAGAGAACCTTCACATAAGATAAGGGTAGTGCAGATATGACATGATCCAATCAGAATGAGAAGCAAAAATGAATGTGTACAAAAAGAAAAATGTCTGTGCATTGGATAGAAAATTACCAGATTTTACTATTAACATGACGTAAAGTCATGATTTTATTAATGACACGGAGGCGAGTATTATGCATTCTCTTTCTTTATTATACTCCCAGCAGCAAGAAAAGGGAAGTATGAGAGAATCATAGAAAAAAGAAAACCATAACAGTAGCCTGGTAACAGTAGCACCAATCAGCATCCAGTATAATCCATATAGGTGTAGTGCTCCTTGACTCCTCCTCTTTCTGCGTAGATCCTGAATACCATTAGTGCAAAATTTCAAGTATTCCAACCATAACTACGAATCCACGAACCAAAAACCATAACTGGAACTTCAATCTAGAAACGTTTCAACCGCCAACTCTCCAGTTGTATTCAAGCTAAAAGAAAGGAGAAATATGGTAATATCGAAATCTCGTGACTGAATTCCGCAATCAACAACTCGTCAGTCATGTTAATCAAACGATGTAATTATATCAAATCCTGACAGCCATATTGCTAGATCGAAATATGTATCATATAAATTACATTCATAGAATACTCACTCACCTGTGTCATGAATGACCATGTACCTACCGTATGAAGTCATCATAAATGCTTCATGTTCTGGTTGTAACTTACTCACCACTCTGGGTAGGGTGGGAGGGAATAATACTCGCCTCCGTGTCATTAATAAAATCATGACTTTACGTCATGTTAATAGTAAAATCTGGTAATTTTATTAAAGACACGGAGGCTCCTATTATGCTATTTTAAAGCTGAGCAACCACTGCACTGGAAATGTGTTGCACTGGGCGTAAATAGAAATTACGAAATGTAGACTCATTCGACCAGTCGGCTGCCCGTAGTATATCCTCCAATTTACAACCTATCATGGATGCTTTAGAGGCCATAGCTCCGCGAACGGAATGCGAGGAAAAAATCGAGGTGTCTATGCCTGCCATTGACAGCAACCATTTGACCCAACGAGCTAAAGTAGCAGTAGATACTGGTAGGTGAGGTCTTTTGAATGAGATGAACAGTGGATGGGTTTGTCCTGGACGGAGTGAAGCCGTGCGATGCTCGTATTCCTTCAGACATAACACAGGGCACAAACTTGGGTTGTCCGGCAATGATGGGTAGAAAACTTCCTTAGTCGAGGATTTTGTTCTACGTGAAATATTAAAGGATACTCCGTTTGGGACAAAAACACGTGCATGCCAGTCTAGCACCCTGACATCAGCGACTCGTTTACATGAAAGTAAACAAAACAGCATAAGCAGTTTGGCCGACAATTGCTTCAGTGAAAGTTCCTGGTCCTTTGGCCAAGGCTCGATCAAACGCAACATCACATTGACATCCCAAAAGGAAGAATATCGAGTCTGAGGAGGTCAAGTGAGACGGATGCCTTTGAGTAAACGACATATAAGGGCATGTTTACCTATTGGGGTGCCATCCAACCCCATATGTCTCGCCGATATAGCTGATCGGTACAGATTTATAGTGCGAAAGGCTTTCCCTTCCTCAAAGAGTAGAGTCAGAAATTGTAGTATTCCTTTTGTAGAAGCTGATATGGGATCCATTGACTGTCCCATGCACCAATCAGACCATTTTCTCAAAGCCGATCCGTAGGCACGTCTGGTACCTGGTGCCCATGATTCTGCCAAGAGACTGAGTGTCGTCTGTGAAACCTCCTCGAGATTCCATGATCTCCTGAAATGAGCCATGCCATCAGTTGCAGTAGGCCTTGGTTGGCCAGCTCGTGACTCATTCCCTCTGGGTTGGTTAAGAGGTAGGGAATGTCCGGCAACAGTTGTGGGAAATCTATTGACATTTCCAATAACTGAGGGAACCAAGGTTGTGACTTCCATAACGGGGTTATCAGTGCCAGCGTCCCCTTGGAATATCGAAGGACCGCTAGGGTCCGAGAAATGAGGTTGAACGGGGGAAACGCGTAGTTCCTGCCCTTGGTCCAGTCCTGCAGGAATGCATCTGTTGCCAGAGCATCTGGATCCGGTCTCCAACTGAAGAACCGAGGAAGTTGGGTGTTCAGTCGAGACGCGAAGAGGTCTATACTGAAAGGTCCCCAGAGCCGAGAGAGGCGCTGAAAAATCATTGGGTGGAGGTGCCAGTGCCCTGCGTCCCGAAGGTATCGGGAGTTCCAGTCCGCCATTGTATTGTCCTGCCCCGGAATGTACTCTGCTATTACTGAAATGCTGTTTCTCAGGCAATAGTGCCAAAAATCTCGAGCCATCAAAGCGAGAACCTTCGATTTTGTCCCCCCTAGATGGTTGATATAACGTACTGCTGAGACGTTGTCCATCTTGATTAAGATCGAGCATGAAATGCCTGTGGGGGTCATACTGCGAATGGCAAAAGACGCTGCTAATAGCTCTAGGCAGTTGATGTGTAACCGAGACTCTTCGTTCGACCATCTGCCACCGGTGGAAACTGACCCGCAATGCGCGCCCCAGCCATGTAAGCTGGCGTCCGACTCTATGACCAGGTCCGGCGTCGATCCAAATATCGCCCGTCCGTTCCATGCCTCCATGTGTGCTAGCCACCAGTCTAGTTCCTCCCTGGAGTCTTCGTCCAGTGTGACGCAGGTTTCGTATGAGTGACCAGAGCGTAGGTATGAGGCTTTGAGTCTTTGTAGGGCACGATAGTGTAGCGGTCCTGGGAAGATTGCCTGTATGGACGATGCCAACAGCCCTATGATCCTCGCAAGTTGTCAGAGGGAAATAGTCGTACGATGCATAAGCCGTCTGATCTCCTTCTTGATCGAAATCATTTTGTCTTTGGGTAGACACAACCTCTGTCGACTTGGAAACCCAGAAATTCCATCTGTCTGGAGGGTTGTAGAATTGATTTTTCCCAATTCACCAAAAATCCTACGTTTTGGATAAGGTGGATCGTCCAGGATAGGTGAATGCAAATTTGGGATTGAGATTGGGACAGAAGAAGGATGTCGTCTAGATAAATTATTAATCTGACCCCTCGTGTGCGCAGGAAGGCAATCACTGGTTTTAGCACTTTTGTGAAGCACCATGGAGCGGAGGATAGGCCAAATGGCAGACATGCAAACCTCCATTTCGTTCCCTGCCACTGAAATTGCAGTAGGTTTCGGTGAGCCTCTGCGATCGGGATGGTCAGGTAAGCGTCCCGCAAATCTATCTTGACCATCCAATCTGATGGTATGAGCAGGTCTCGAAGGCAATGAATACCCTCCATTTTGAAATGGTGGTATTGGACAAAAGCATTTAGAGGCCGGAGATTTATTACTGGGCGTACCCCGCCTCCTTTCTTGGGGACCAGGAACAAGTTGCTCACGAAACCTTCTGTGTCCCATGGGATTTGTTGAATAGCGTTCTTGGACGCTAACTCTGCGATCTCTAGAGA